TGAGCCATAAACAAAATAGCTGTAAAACACAATATAACACACTAAGTGGGGCACACAGCCCAAACAATAGGACATCTGAGGGAGGTGGTTGTTATTGGCTGGAAAGATCAGGAGAGGAGAAATCCTAGAAGAAATAGTATTTGAACTCTAAAGAACATGTAAGACTTTAACGAGCAAAAAGCAAGAGGTAAGTCATGCCAGGCAGAGGGAACAGTGTGACCCAGAGATGTGAGAGAACATTCCATGTTCATTTTGGCACCGTAGCTCATTTTGACTAGAGTATCATGAATACTAGGATTAGAATTATAAATACTAAGGCTAGGAAGATAGGATGAAATCAGATTGTAGTGGATCTTGAATTCCAGGAAGAGAAAGAAGTTTGAAAATTATTTTGTAGTCAATAGGGAGCTGCTGATGATTTATGAGAAAAATAACACAATAACTTATTACATATGGAATTATTATTTCTGACCAAGTTTTGAATGATGGATTGGAGGTGAGAGAGTATGAAGAAGAGAAGTTCTGTTTGAAGGCTATTTTGATGGTACAAGCAGATGCTAATGAATATCTGTATTAAGTTAGTAGCAATGGATATAAGAAAAAGAAGGCATGAAATCAATGTTAAAAAATTGAATTAACAAAAAAGTGAATTCATATGTTAAAGAATCTTCACCACCAATGAAAAATCACTAGTGTTATAAAATTATGTTTGTATACACATTTGTAGGTGGTTTTGAGTATGTGCCACCTTACCTTTAAAAATATCATCCTAGAAAGATATTTTAAATGCATAACACAGTATTTCAAAGTTAAAAACAGCCAAGTTAGTAAGCATTTGGATAGAAGAAAAAGTGAAAGCTCTTGGAAAAGGTTGGACTGACAAGACTCGTAATAGAATGGATATGAGAAGTAAAGGTGACAAAAGAATAAAAGAGAACCCCAACGTGATATACATGGAAGAAACGGAAGATGACCATACCACAGACAAAAGTAGCAAAAGCAGAGGCAGAATTATTAGGGAAAGTAGAATGGGCTTAATTCTATAAATGCTGATTCTGTGTATGCAGCAGCTCAAAAGATGCTGATGGAACATCCAGGTGTCTTATGGACATTTGGACTTCAGGTCCCAGAATTAAGGAGAGAGGTTAGGAGATATGTACACTTGGATATCATCTGCTTGCAGATGGTTGTTGAAACTCTAGGAGTGAATGAAATTAACAAGGAAGAGAAGACAGTGAAGGCAATGGAAAGAAATGGTTGTTCTTTATCTTCTTTCCAGCCTCCTGAAAATTAATCACAATGCCCATACTAGTGAAACAATAGGAGAATTTCTAAGACTGGTAGACTGACACTCATGATTTGCAGATGGATTCAGAGGAAAACATCCTGTTATCAACACTTAGACCCTCTCTTCAACACAAGCTCTGTCTCTGTCTGTCTGTCTGTCTGTCTGTCTGTCTGTCTCTCTCTCTCTCTCTCTCTCTCTCTCTCACACACACACACACACACACACACACACACACAAACACACACATATTCATAAGCAATCTCTGAGAGTCAAAGGCTAAGTACTTAAAATGACAAAACAACAGAATCTTCCCATCAAATGTCTTACCTTTTCCTCTTCCTGCTTTTTCTCCTCCACATATGCTTCATCACTTGACTGTTTTCAATTTTGAAATGCTGTGTCATGACTCTGAAATGCCTTTCTGGCATGGTATATTTAAAAGAAACATGAGACATGAACACGCAAACAGACCTACCTGTAATCACACAATCCAGACTTCATAAACAATTTAAAATCACCAGTAATTTTTATTAATGATAAACATCCCTTTAACTCTGAATCATCTTTTGGGCAATTAAAGTTCTTAATGGTTATTTTTGTTATAAATCAAGATTTTTCTTTTAAAAATTATTTGTATAAGAGTTCTGTATTTTTTTTGCTCTATCTTGTTTTAAAATGGCATACTAATTCAGTTCAATTCAACAAACATTTAGCACCTGCTATGTGCTTTTCATTGTGCTAGACAGTAAATAAACAAGGCTTAAAAATTAATGGCTTAATACTTTCCTTCAAAGAGTTTAGGGGAAGCTAGGTGGCACAGTGCATAGAGCACCGGCCCTGGATTCAGAAAGACCTGAGTTCATATCCAGCCTCAGACACACAACACTTACTAGCTGTGTGACCCCTGGGCAAGTCATTTAACCCCCACTGGCTAACCAAAAAAAAAAAAAAGAGACAGAGAGATTAACATTTAGCAGGTAGATATACCATAAAAACAAATGATGTGATAAAAATAGATAGCACTAAGATGGAGTAGAAATTCAGACAAAACACTATGAGAGAATTTGTGGAAACAGAGAACTCTTTGGGCTGGGTGAAAGCTTCATCAACCTGGTGGCACCTGGATCTTGAAGGATGAATAGAATTTCAATAGGCAGTATGGTACACTAGAAAACAAGCTGTAGTTTGAGTCGGAGGATCCAGGTTCAAACCCTAGCTTTGCAATTTATTATCTATGTGGCCTTAAACAAGTCATTTTTTTTTCACTTTAGGTATCAGTTTACTTTGTAAAATATGGAAATTGGACAGGATGCCCTCTTAGGTCCAGTTCTAAATCTATGATCCTTTGTGGAACACATGAGTGATAGTTTGAATGTGTGTACAAATGCCACAGAGGACAAAGTTTAGGAAACAACTAACAGCTGAGTTTATCAAAAATAGGATATCCATGAATAAGAAGGGAAGTGATTGAACAGTAAAAACACTTTGTATAAAATTTCTCTAAATCTTGTATGTAAGGTATATAAACTAAACTATAGATAGATTATGTGTATATATATATATATATATATATATATATAATACATACATACATATATGTATATCATATAGCCATTCCCCAATTGATAAACGATCGAAACATATGAACAAACAGTTCTCAAAAGTACAATTACAAAACCTACACAACCACGTGAAAGAATGTTCTAAATCACTAATAATAGAAGCAACTAGAAATAATCATGGAGTTTTACCTCATACTTTGCAAATTGACACACAAAAAAATGACCAGAGATGGCAATAGTCAATGTTGGAGAGGTTGTGGAATGAAAAGCACTCTAATATGTTGTTGTGGAGCTATGAAATCATACAAACGTTTTGAAAAGCAATTTAGAATTATGCAAATAAGGTGACTAAAGTGTTCATACTCTTTGAACCGGAGACTGTTTATACCACAAGGCAGCCATTAATAAGAAGAAAATTCCCATAACCTAGCAGCACTTTTGAAATAGCTACGAATTGGAAACAAAATAGATGCTCATCAATGGGGAAATGGCTAAACAAATTATGGTACCTGAATGTAATATGGAATATTACTGTGCTGTAAGAAATGATGTATATGATGAATACAAAGAAGCAAGGAAATATCTATGTGAATTGATGCAGAGTGAAATAAGCCAAGTCAAGACAATGTTATACACAGTAAGTACAACAATGTAAATGGAAAGAATGATACACCAAAAAATCAAAAGTAAATGTAACAAAATTATAAAGATCAAACAAGACTTAAATGAAGAGACGTGAGAGGATATCCACGCTCCCCAATCCCACTCTACTTCTTCATGGAGGTGGGAAATCCACAGGTGTTACCCAATGCACGTAATTTTGGGCTTTTTCCAATATATTGATCAGTTGTATTATTTTTTTCCTCTCTAAAATATACTATTTGTAATAAGGGATGGCTCTCTGGGAGGGGCAGGGAAGGGATACTATTAGGATTTAAGAAATAGAATCTATCAATAAAAACATATTAAACTGTTTATCAAATGCTGTATAATCTCATAAAACTGATATTTTTGGTAAAGGGGTAGAAAAGAATGTGATAGATCTATGATTTCATTGGAATATGGAAATGCTCCTGAAGAAACTCCCTCTATTCCAACTGCTCTTCAATTTATAGTCTTAGATAACTGCTTCGGGCTCTTTGAGAATAAATGACTTGCCCATGTTCACACAGCCATAGGCAAGACTTCAACTCAAATCTTCCTTATTCCCAGCCCAGCTCTCTAGTAAGTCATGGTACCTCTTCCGCTACAACTATGATATCTAATATATTCATGTTACTCTGGTGTGGTGTGGATATAACTATAGGTGCTCAAATGCTATATTTGTACAAATTCTGGTAGGTTCTACTAAGGAGCAAAGGCTTTGAGTACAGTACTAGTAACAGATTATGTGGCTGTTATACAAGGGCCAGCCCAACAAAGGACAAATCATATCATAGCAAAATTGGCAACCAGGTAATGAGATGTTTTAAATATCATTCAAATAATAACATGGATCTGAAATATCATCAATGTGTTCATTTCCTTCAGTGACACAGATAGTAAGCCATCTATGCCTGCTCATGCTGTACAACTCTGGTCCATGTCCTCCCTTAAATTCTCCACCAGTGGTTCTCCTACCCTTCTTTACTTTCTCATAACATAGCAAGGATTACAGTAATACATGTAGGCTATCCTTTGGTTATCTTACATTCTCAGATAACACATTTATTTGATGGCAGCTGTGAATCTGGGTTTTTCACAATTCTTTGGGGGTTACACTCTGCTCATACGCACTGTGCACTTCTCCTTTGACCTCCAAGTGATACTCATTTTTAATTCTTTGGAAACTGCCATGTTCCTTCACTCAAAGATGTACAATACTGCTAGAATATGAGAGTTAAAATATGGATCTTTGTTTCAGGGATGAGTTTGGTGTTCTTAAAAGAACTTTGAATATTTCTAAAATTGTTTCTGTTATTAATGTTGTTATTCTTATCATTTTGCCTTACATTTGGTCTGCTGGTGATCTGAATGAGGTGTGCTTGTCCTTCTGTTTCACAGCAGAAAGGAAATGAAGAGAAAAATCAAAGCACATAATCAGTCTTGAGTATAACAAGGGTTGTGTTGGGTTGAAGGTTTTATTTGATTTTTCTTTATTCCAACTTTAGGTTGTATTTAAAGGGCCACAGTGGGACAGCAGGAAAACAGAGTAGTCTGATCTTGCATGGTGCTGATTTTAGCACGAAAGATGCTGATAATGACAACTGTATGTGCAAATGTGCTGTCATGCTGACAGGAGGTAAGTCCTATGGGGGATTTTGCTAAAAATGTTCCATTGACCTGGTAAGAAAGGGATGTGGTTTTCTGGTCAGGAAACTGGAAACCATGTCTCCTTAGGTCAGTTCTTGGCTCTTTCTAGTGATTCTCCATGTGTTCTTGAACATTATTGTTAGGAGAGTTGGATCCAAAGCAATGTTTTTTCCTATGTCCATTATACTCCAAGAATGACACAGAATAAATCTCTGAGTTTCTCTGACTTTTATTTTCTGGTTCCTGAATAATGTCAGTGGTGTTCATACAGATGCTATAATGTAAAAAAAATCAATTGCAATTTATAAGATGCATTAAGATCCTTAGATAGAGGTCAGTAGGGCTTAAAACTCTTTGAATGAATCTCTCAAAATGGAGTAACAGGAATAATGAATATATATGATGAGATCACGTCATTGAAGTTGAGTCAGCCATTCTCGGAATGCAGGTTGCTGAGCTATATAGCACATTAGATCATGGCAAGTAGGAAGAGGTAAAAAGATTACCTGGAGATGGGTGCTAAGCAAAGCTAGCTGTACTCAAAATTGTTAATGTAGTGAAAGAGCATAATCTTTCCTGCCTCTGGTACTTACTCACTTCTAGTGCCTTTCTCCCCTTCTTTCTCTATCCAACACTTCATACACAGGTACATTTCATATTCTCTCTCCTCTCTCCAACAGGATCAGGCTTTCTGAAAATTATACAATAAACTCATGTCCACTGAGGTATAAATAAATGATTGATGGGGGTTAACCTTTTATTCCTTCCAGGAATAATGACAATTTAATTAAGGGACAAAGCCCTAAGCCAAAGCTATCATCCTCATTATTTAGGAGTCAATGGGGGTGAGGTCTCTCTATTATGTATAAGACTTCACCACATAGGCACCCTCATACCTGCCGGTGAAGTTGGAGACAGACTCACTGCACCATACTTTCACCACACTGCCCTGCCCTAGCCATTCTGTTCTTGAACGTTGGAATTCCCAGTTACTACACAGAGTGCCAAATCACCTAGGGGGTGTTCTTCTACATCAGGATATCACAGGAAAAGAACCTATGATTTCCTCAATTAGGAGAATTCCTGTTGTGGAAACTCCCTAGACCACTTAAGACTGAAAGTCACCAATGATTTAGTTCTTAAATCCTAGGAACTGCCTGAAGCACAAAGATTTAGTAAGTTACCCAGGATCACACAGCTAGTAAATTATCAGAGACAGAATTGAAACCCCAGTCTTCCTGACTTCATACTGTCAACTCATACTATGTCTATATGAAGCTATGATCTGATTAAAATGACTACTATACAGTTAAATATGTATCTTGAAGTCACATACTGTTTCCATTACAAGAAAAATACATTTTCATCTCCTCCATAGTTTTCATTTGGAGTTAAAAAAAAATCTAGATCAGACTCTGAACACTCCCACTTTAGAGCCACATAACCAATGGAAATTCTATCTAACGTTCATTTTTTTCTCACCAGTAAAATTGGGAAGTTCAGACTAAGGTCTCTCCTTTTTCTGAATCTGTAATCCATAATAGAACTAATTATATCTTTTTTGTCTACCTCAGAGGGATGTGAGGAAGAAATAAACAAGTATTTGTATTTGTGGAAGTCCTCTAAGGTGAGGGCACTCTGCAGGTTTAAGGTGGAAGTCCTGAATTTACCACACATCTCTAAGGAGAAATGAATTTCAGAGTATCTTAACCTATAACAGGCCAGGTGTTAACTTTTTTTTCTTGAATGAAGGTTCAATTGTATTATCTCCTTATTCATATACAGTCACTAACATAAGGAAAAGGCTTGAAATTGATCTTGATTTTCTGTTACCATCCTTTTTTTTTATTAAAATATGCCTTATTTCTTCATCACCATAAGTGATTGACCCCAGTTTCCATGGATTCAATTACCATTTTTACCATTTCTGTAACATATATGTGTATGTTTGTGGGTATACATGTACATATATAAATATATGTAGTATATATATTTGCATGTATATGCATGTACATGTATGTATTTAGTATATGAATATGCATGTATATGTATATATTTATATTCAGCCAGATAACGATAGTCCCATATCACTACTGTCCAAAAGGCATTTCAAATTGGATGTCCAATAAGCATCTTAAAGTCCACATGCTCCAAATATAATTCATTATGTCTATCTCCCCTTCCCCCAATTTTTCTATTACTGTTGATGGTATCACCATCCTCCTAGTTATTCAGACTTGCAGCCTTAGTGTACCTCCCCAACAATTTACTCCCAGTCACCACACATATTTGAACAGTTGCCAAACCTTGCCATTTCTGTCTTCATAACATCTCTTGTAAACATCTCCTTCTTTCCACTAACAGTAGAAAGGCCTTGGGTCACCTCTTCTTGCCTGGACTATTGCAATAGTCTTCTAATTACTCTCCCTGCTTTAAGTATGTCCCTTTCTAATTATTTTCCAAACATTCACCAAAGTGATTTTCCTCAAGTGCAAGTCTTATGTTACTTCCCTCCTTCCTTCTGGTAAACTCTGGTAAACTCCAGACACTCTATTACCTCCAATATCAAGTACAAATTCATAGTTTGCATTTAAAACTTGATGCCCTGGTCCCTTCCTACCTTCCCAATCTTCTTACATTCTACTCCTAACAATGCACTTTACAATCCCTCCATACTAACCCATTTTATCGTTCATTGCACCTGAGACTCTTACCTCTCATCTCAGTGACTTTATACTGGCTAACTCCACTGCCTCCATGCATGAAATACTCTCTATCCCCACCACTTTTTAAAATCAATCACCTTCTTCTTGATACTCTCTTCCTTCTATCTTTCATGACACTACTCTCTCCTGCTTTTCCTCCTGTATCTGACCACCCCTTCTGTGTCTTTTGACTGGATCTTAGTTCAGATCACACCCATTAGCTATGGGCATCTCACAAGACTCTGTCCTGAGCCCTGTTTTCTTCTCCTTCTTTACTGTTTCATTGGGCGATCTCATAAGCTCTTATGGATTCAATGATCATTTCTGTGCTGATGATTCTCAAATCTGTTTATCCAGCCCCAAACTCTTTTCTGACCTCCAGTCTCACATCACAAACTGTTTTTTGGCCTTCTTGAAGTGGATGTCCTGTAGACATCTTAAACTCAATATATCCAAAACTGAATTCATCTTTTCTTCCAAACCCTTCTGTCTTCCTAAATTCCCTATTATTGTCCCAGTCATCCAGGCTCTCAACCTAGGTATCGTCCTTGACTCCTCAGTTTCTTCCACTTCCATATATCTAATCTTTGCTAAGGCCTACAGATTTTACCTTCATAGCATCTCTCTTTTATTCTCCATTCTGTACTATGACACTGCTACCACCCTGGTGGAGGCCCTCATCATCTTATACCCAGACTATTACAATAGCCTCCTGCTGATTCATACCTGCCATAATTCATTCCCCACTACAGTCCATCTTCCATCCTGTCAAAATGATAAAGTGTAGATATAATTCCCCCCTCCCCAATAAATTCCAGTGGCCCCCTATTCCTCCAGGAGGGTGTATGAAATGTTCAAGGAGGACTAGCAACTCTGGAATGAGAGCGTGCTGAACACTTTTCAGGGCTGCTCATCCACCTTTGATGTTCACCTGTCACCTGACTCTCACCTGTGGCTCCAAGAAGGCAAAAAAGGCAGCTGAAGCAGGCACTGTGGAGCACTTTGAGCTTAGTCAGACATCAAACATGCCAAGGTCATCCACTGTATCCCAGCTTGACTTTTGCCTTACCACTACACTCCAATGTTTTGGAAGAAAGAATGAGGCTGATAATTTTGCACAACTCTGTCTCACTTAAATCTAATTCATGCACAAATCAAGACATTACCCGTAATGTCACTGGTCCTCTGAAAACGAAGGATGAATAACAACAATTACTTCTAGGATTAGATCTAACATCCTCAGTTCTGCATTCAAAGGCTTTCACATCTTCCCCCTCTGCCAATCTTTCCAGTCTTTTTTATGCCTCATACCTACCATTTACCCTGCAATCTGGTAACACTGGCCTCCTTACTATTTGTCACGTATAACAGTACATCTTCAGACTCAGGGCATTTTCATTGGTTGTCCCCATTGCTGGAATATTCTTCCTCCTCATCTCTGCCTCTTGAGTTCCCTAGCTTCCTTTAATCCCCAGCTTAAATCCCATCTTCTACAAGAAGCCTTTCCTGCTACCCCTTATTTCCAGAGCCTTCCTTTTATTATCTCCAATTTATCCTGTATACGTCTTGTTAGTACATAATTGTCTACATGTCACTCCTTCATTAGATTGTGATCTCCTTGAAAGCAGGAAATATCTTCCCTTTCTTTTTCTCTACAATGCTTAGCCATAGAGTAGGCTCTTAAAACATGTTTATTGACCAACTATCTTCTTTCAAGGCTTCAAGTTCAAATGACGTCTTTTACAGGAGGCCTTTCTAGGCTGGCCCAGCTGCTAGAGCCTTATTCTGTGAGATTACCCTCCTTCTACTCTTCATATATCTTGAATTTACATGTTGCCTCTTCCTTTAGAATGTATGCTTCTTGAGGGAAGGGATTGTTTTTGCCTTTCTTTGTATCCCTAGAACTTAGGACAGTGCCTCGAACATAGTCAGCCTTTAACACATACAAGATGATCATTTATCTACTGAATAAATTGTACACAATGAAGTAAAAGATCATCAAAGTTTTCTAAATTACCCTTTTTCAGTCACTTCAAGTTTCTTAAGTTCACCTTCCCAAACTTTACTAATGATGGTAGAAATAACTGTGGAAAGAAAATACTAACCTTTCACTCATCAATAAAAAAAAAATCTAGAGCTTGAGTTTGTGCTTTTATTCCTCCTTGTGAATATTGAATTCCATAATTTTTTTCATTCATAATTATTACTTGGCCCAGCTTCTTACTCACTTACTCACTAAAGACATGTGAGCAGGAAAGAAATTTTCCACTTACTGTATGTGCTG